ATCAGAATAATGGGTTAATATAAGTTACAAGGGCTAATAAGAAGCCTGACCTAATGGGCCAATCAGTTTATAACCTTATGGAGTCCTGTGTGTGATTTTTCGTTGGGAGTTGCTGGTTGTGGGGTACCGGGCGGGACAGAAACCACAACAAGCCGGCCCTCAGCAATCTTCGGTAGGAACAGAGGCAGGGCAATGAGAATAGGATAAGGCTAGGGAGGAGGAAACTTCCTCAGCCATTCCTGTGCAGACCACCGAAGAGGCAACATGTAAGCTGTCACACTGAGAAAGGTACTGAGCCATTATGGCTAACATAGATAATGATAATGGATTAATATAAGTTACAAGGACTAATAAGAAGCCTGACCTAATGGGCCAATCAGTTTATAACCTTATGGAGTCCTGTGTGTGATTTCTCTTTGGGATTTGCCGGTTGTGGGGTACCGGGCAGGACAGAAACCCCAACAAGCCGGCCCCCTCATGTTACATTAAGTTTTCACAGAGTTTCTCTCCCGTTACTATCCATGTCTGTGTTTCTTTCTTACACCTGTTTTTTCTTCCTAACACTTCTAATCCTCATGCCCCTACCCTGGAACATACAAACCCACTGTGGCTGGACTGCAGAAGTCACCCCCCAAAAGGTGACTTTCAACACTAAACATTTCATGTAAATAGAATTGTGTAATACGGTTCCTTTAAACTAGCTTCTTTCATTTTGTATGTTTTTTTATTTATTGTGTTAGAGCAAAAACTAATACTTCACTCACTTCTTTTTACTATAGAAAAACACACCAAAATTTAGCACTTTTAAAACATTTTCAATTATAAAGTTTAGAAAAATTAAATATATGCGTTGTCCATAATATTTTCATTGTGAAAAATACTCTCTACTCATTAAACAATAATTCCCTTTTTTCTTCCTTACCCATCCACTGGTAACCACCATGCTTCTGTGGCCTTAACTGCTTTGCATAAAATGAATAAAGTGGAATGATACAGTTTTGGGATGGGTGTACATGTGTGTGCATGCTTGTGCTCATGTGTGTGTGTGTGTGCATGTGTATGTGTGCATGTTAGTTATTTAATTTAGTTTAATATCCCCAAATGTCACTCTTGTTCTACCACATGACAGAACTTCCTTTTATTTTAATGCTGAGTAATATTTCACCGTGTGGAATCACTTCTAGGATGTAGATAATGCTAAGTGGAAAGCTTCAGGATAGATGTCCACATTTTTCTATATGTTTATAGATGGATGGTTGGATTGCCTGCAGCACTCTTATGTTATAAATAGTTCACTAGAAATAGTGCCTCCTTCCTTTTCTGACTGAACAATAACTTTCATATATATTCCTCCTTACCCATTCTGGACACTAGCCCCAGGGCCTTGCATTCAATAGGTAAGTGCTCTAGACCAGTGAACTAAACCCCTAGCCACATCTCCTTCCTTTTCTTTTACTTTCTTTTCCTTATTTTTCTTTTCTTTTCTTTTCTCTCCTTTTTTTTAATCTTTCAATTTTTAAAAGCAGGGTTTCTTTGTATGACCTTGGCTGTCCTGGAACTCTTTCTGTAGACCAGGCTGGCTTCAAACTCACAGAGATCCACCTGTTTCTGCCTACTGAGTGCTGGGATTGAAGGCATACACCATCTCCATCTGGTCCATATCTCAATTCTTAATGCCTAGAAATAAACCATGTGTATCTTTTGGTTTTGGTTGCTTGTTGAAAATTCAGCTTAAGATTGCCATGGTGGGATTTTCCTCTTCTCTGCTCTATGAACCACCAGTACAGAGTTCCACTAATTTTACCCTCTTTACTCTCAACCACAATTTGAAGAGAAGAAAGACCATAAATGTATATACCTCTTTGCCCAGTGGTACACTAATTCAGCTCGGGAAGGATTCTAATTGAGAATACTTCATGGCCACATATTGCAGATGTGGCAGCCTTGGTACTAATACCAAGGGAATGGTGGCCAAAGAGACCCTCACCAGAGTAGAACAAGAGGGATTCACAGAAGAACTGAGGTAGGTTTGGGGATCATTTTCTGATTGTTCTGTTGCAGCAAGAACTTGTCTCATGGTCAAATCCACAAATCCCTTTCCCTATTTTGTACCTGCGACCAGCTTACTGACCTAAGTACTTACATGATGTGGGATGTTCCTCTGTATGCTGGGAATATGTTTTATTACCATTGTTTAATAAAGAAGCTGCTTTGGCCTATACCAGGGCAAAATATAGCCTGGAGGGAAATACAAACAGGGATATATAGAGAGTAGGCAGAATCAAAGAGATGCCATATAGCTAGCTGCTCAAGGTAAAGATGTGCATAAACTTTCTGGTAAGTTACAGCCTCATGGTGATGCACAGATGAATAGAAATTGGTTAATTTAAGATGTCAGAGCTAGGTAGGAATACTCTTGAACCATTTGCCAAGCAGTGTTTCAATTAATATCATTTTTCTGTGATTATTCAGGTCTAGGTGGATGGAAAATAAAGAGCAGGCTCCACTTACAAATGATGTCCAATGTAGGACTTGGATCAATAGAAGACCCTAAAGACGCTTAAGAAAAAAGAAGAGCTACCAGACCCACAAAATGGGAGCCAATTGCAGCTTGTTGGTAGCCACTTTTTTTTTCAGATAAGCTCTGCTTGCTGGCCATAAGAAGAGGCATGACTCCTTTAGGAGAAGGATTTCTGGTTTGTGCTGGTGTCATGAATGCTCTGACTCTTTCGGGAAGTCCTTCTATGGAGCACTTGAATAGAGTTTGTGAGCAGAGTGTTACAAGTTGCATATTGGCAACATAGACCTACTGCATCCCTGGAGCTGGGGTGGTGAACGTGGCTCACAGAGACTGTGATCATACCTCTGCCATGTAGGACTAGGCAGGACCAAGAGGCAATGCTGCAGCTTTAATCCTAGCCATACCTGCTTAGCATTTAAAAAAAAACTCTCCTGGTCAGAAAATAATTATAGATACACAATAAGACAGAGAAAAAACCCTCTGCATGGGTCATAGTGCTGAATAAATATACATGGGCTTATGAGAGAGAAGAAAGAGTACAGAAAGTCACAGATTAAAGGAGTAAAGATAATAAAATAAATGTTAAAAGAGTAGAGTTTTTAAAAAAATCTATGTAGTCAAATAACAGATTTCTGTGTGTACGGAAACACACAGAAAGTCTGGATTATGTATATTATTGTGTTTTCTTTGTATTTTTAGACTGCAGAGAGACATTTGATTCGGGGTGTGTGTGTGTGTGAAGCTAAGCCAACACATATATTTTAAAGGTATCTTGACTTCAAAATTTGAGTCTAAGGATATGTTACTTTGGAAAAGAGTTTCTGCTTTTGTTTCCACAGAAGATGAGAAACTGTGGATTCATTCCAGGCTAATTTGTTTGATGGAGTAAGACTACTGAAGGACCTCCATTAACCCTAAAAATTCTTCGCTCCAAAACAGCAGGAAGCAGTTTGGAGAAAACTGTGCCCAAACTCCCAAAATTATTTTTTATGGACTTTGGTTTATTGATACAAATGTAAGGTCAATTTTGTTATATGGATATTTCTACTTTTGTTTAAGGTGTTGTGTTTGTGCAGTTCATTTAAAAATGTAATGTATAGTTAAGAAATATCAATTAATAATAGTCATTTATGATAGTCAAACTTATAGTCAATCATGTTATAGTCAATTTATAGGAATGTTTTCTAGATGTACAGTGATATATTTCAGTTAAATAGATACTCAGTACTTCAAAGATCTATAGAATATGAGATTTAAAATGTTTTAAGAAGTTAGATTTTTCTCAACAGTGAGACATGTCTGTTTCTGTCAGCACCAACTGCTTCAGAGAGGTGGATGGGCATTGAAGAAAATTGCTATAGAATTTGCCTTCAATGCAACAAGGCTAACCATTTGGGCAAGAAACTGCTCTTGCCTGGACTGCTTAACAATATGCTGTATAAACTGGACACATGCAGAATTCATGAAAAAATGACTGCTGAACTTGCCAAAAGAGGGTGAGACAATTCTTCAGGGCTCCTGCTCCACCAAAGAAACTGCCAGACATTTTCCAAGACATAAAAGAAAGTGACTGACAAACTGCCAACATAGGCAAAACAGTCTTTCAAATTTTTTGCTTCATGGAAAAGTCTGCCAGATATTATGGGCCTGTAGGCTGAAGATGATTGCTCCAATGCTACAGAAGAACTTTGGGTGACTGTCCAGGCAGTGAGATGTCTCTGTCAATTCTAGAATTTTGAAGGTTGTTTAAAAAGCACTTCCTGTTTACTTAGGTAATATTATATCCTTCTGGGGTCTTTGATGGAGTTGAAGAGAGATAGTTATAGTTTTCCTTAGTTATAATAAAAGATAAATTAGATATGAAACTTTAGATGCATAAAGAAATAATGTAACTGTAATTCAGCTTAATACCTGTTTTGTTATATGTAATTTTCTTCTATTAAAGTTTAAACCTTCCTTTTTATTAAGTCAGAAAAGGGGAGATGATGTGGAATATCCCTCCATTTGTGGTGAATATGTTTTATTGCCATTGGTTAATAAGGAAGCTGCTTTGGCCTATGGCAGGGCAGAATATAGCCAGGAGGGAAATCTGAACAGAGATATAGAGAGAGAGTAGGCAGAGTTAGAGACACGCCTTGTAGCTGCCAAAGGAGAAAGATGCCTGGAACTTTTCCAGTAAGCCACAGCCTCGTGGTGATACACAGATTAATAGAAATAGATTAATTTAAGATGTAAGAGCTAGGTTGGAATACTCTTGAACCATTTGCCAAACAGTGTTGTAATTAATATAATTTGTGTGATTATTCATGTGTCGGTAGCTGGGAAATGAAGAGCAGTCTCAGTTTAAATTTATATCCCTCTATTTTCTC